AATAAAGCACAAGTAAATACCTGGTATTCTCTACTTTTAGCCAAGATCCATCTGATATCAGCAGTAATATTCCTAATTCCATGTCCTCTTCTGAACCCAGCTTGAATTTCTGGTAGCTCCCGCTGATGTACTGTTATAACCATTTTTTAATCATCTTTAGCAAAAATTTACAAGTGATATTAATGATACTGTTCTGAGATTTCCTCATTCAACTGAGTCACCCTTCTTTGGCGTGGGCACAAATATGAATCACTGTCAATAAACTGGCCAGGTAGCTCTCTTCCAAATTTCTTGGCATAGACAAGTGAATGCCTCCAGTGCTACATTAGTTTGTTGAAGCATTTCAACTTGTATTCCATCCATTCTTGGAACCTTATTTTTCACCAATGTCTTCAGTGCAGCTTGTACGTCTTCCATTAATACCACCAGCTCATTTGATCAAATGCAGACTGAAGAAGTTGGTAGAATTTTTCAATTTCATCATCACTGACTTTAGTTGTTGATGTGTACATTTGAATAATAGTGGTATTAACTGTATTGTTGGTAGGTGTATGAATGTTATCTGTCACAGACAGCATTATACTTCAGGATAAATCTTGAAAGCCTTTTTCCAAAGTGAATGTTCCTATTACATACAGCATGGTACTTTAAAATAAATCTTGAAATGCTCTTTTTGACAATGAATGTGACACCATTTCTTTTCAATTTGTCATTTCCAGAATAGTAAACCATATGATTGTCCAATTCAAAATGGTCAATACCAGTCCATTTAAGCTTACTAATGCCTAGGATAAAGATCTTTGTGTGTTCCATTTCTTTTTTGATGAGTTCCAATGTTCCTAGATTCATACTTCACACATATCATGTTCTGATTATTAATGGATGTTTACAGATGTTTCTTCCCATTTTGATTCATGCCACATAAGCAAATGAAGGTCCTGAAAGCTGTGTTCCATTCACAGCATTAAGTTCAACACTATTCTAAGAAGGCAGCTCATCCCCAGTCATATTTTGTGTCTTCCAATTTGAGGAGCTCATCTTCAGGCACTATATATCAGACAGTGTTCTAATGTTCTATTGTTATTCATAAAATTTTCTGTGACTAGCCATTCAGAAGTGATCTGTCTGCCCTTCTTCCTAGTCTGTCATAATCTAGAAGCTATGCTGAAACCTGCCACCATGGGTGACCCTACTGGTATTTACAATACTGGTGGCATAGCTTCCAGGATCACAGCAACACATTAGGCATCACAGTATGACAAACTACAGACAAGTGGTGGTCCTATGTTATATACCATTGATAATCTACATAGGGAATATAAATAGGCTTTAGCTCTTCAACTAACCCAAAGTTAGATCCAATTGCCTTGTATTCTCCTTTCTTTTAAATGTTTTATTGTTACATGGGAGCATTCTCCTTTATTAAAGGAAAATCAAAAAGCAGTTTATTTATTTATTTAGTCAGAGAGGAGATAGTACCCATAAGCTCTTTCCAGGAATCTCTGTGTGGCATAAGTTTGCAACTACTAAATGAAAACGTTGGCATTTCAAATCAAAAGCCACAAATAATATATTGGTCAAATTTGAATAGGGAAAATCAAAACCTATTTCAATGCTTTTATCAATATATAACCTGAGGGCAAAAATAACTACATCTTGTTGATTCATATATTCATCACAAAATACCATGTGTGTCTGCCTGTGGCAATACCTGTGCCAAATGTATCTTGGTAAACTGGATAGTTAAAGTCTATCCTAGTTGTTCTCAACCAGAGGAGATTTTGCTACCAAGGTGATATTTGGCTGCTGGCATTTAGTGGGTAGGGCCAGGGATGCTGTTAAACATCCTACAATGCACAAAACAGGTCTACAACAAAGACTTTATGGCCAAAATGTCAGGAGTGCCAAGGTTAAGAAATCATGGTGTGTTCTACATTTGGGTCCTAGTAGGAGTTCTGGTGTGGTGGCGCAGGATAATGTGCTAGACTGCAAGATCAGTTTGAACCACAAGGTTGTTAGTTCAAACTCACCTGCTGCTCCTTGGAAACCCTATACAGGGTTACTATGAGTCAGAACCGACTCAATAGCACTTAACAACAACAACAAAGCGTAGTGGGTTATGCGTTGGGCTGCTAATCAAAAGGTCAGCAGTTTGAATCTACCAGTCACTCCACGGCAGAAAGATGAGGCTTTCTGCTCTCATAAAGATGAGTAACCTTGAAAAACCAACACAGGGTCGTTATGAGTCAGAACTGACTTGACAGCACACAACCATCACCACCACGCTTTCATTCCCTCTGGGACTTGTAAGGACTCTGTGCAGATAGATTCTGTCTGAAGAAAACACAACATTTTCATTCACCTCTTTTACCTTTCCCTATCACCTTTACCTTTTACCTTTCCCTAGTTTCCTGGCAAAAAAAAAAGAGTCTACTAAAGCATTACTTTTTTTTTTTTTTTTAACAGAGTCAAGTCTATTCCAAACCAGTTCTTGTGGTATTCAGCAGGTCCTATGATTCTATCTTGTTTTCTAGAACTCCATCAGATTTATATTCCAATGTAAAAGTGCTTTCCTTTGTTGGTGTGGTAGCAAAAAGCATTTCCATCATCCCCAGGGTTTCTAGCAACTCTCTTTGGTAATCAATCTCTTTTTCTACAAGTCCCTGCAGTAACAAAAACTTTTTATCCACTACAGGTGACTGGCCAATCACAGGCAGATATATATCAATAATTATTTCAGCAACATTTATCAAAACAGGAGCAAATCTTGGCTGAGATAGATTCCTTATCAAAAAATTAAGATAAAGCATTACTTTTTGTACTTGTTCTTTATTGCTCAATGAAAGAATAGTATGCATAGAGACAGACTACTCTGTAGTGGTTACGAGTTGGGCTGCTAACCTTAAGTTCAGCAGTTCAAAACTACCAGCCATTCCACGGGAGATGAGGCTTTCTGCTCTTGTAAAGCTTTATAGCTTTGGAAACCCTGTACAGGGTCGCTATGAGTTGAAATCAACTTGATGGCACTTACAACAACAAACAAACACGGCACCATAGTAGCAGGAAAAAAATAAGGTACTGTGGGCTCCTCAAGGAGACATCACTTACATAACTGAGGCCACCTAGTGGTCTCCAGTATGGATCTCAGCTAAACTGGCCCTAGGACTCCCAATTTGAGCACAAATTCTTTAATTTGGATATATATATATATATATATATATATACAAAAAGAGAAACGCCTAGTCTAGAAAACTTCAAATCCATTGTCTCAGTTTATTTGGCATTCAACTCAATTCAACATTCATTTATTGTGCTCCCGTTATATGAGGTTTCAAAAAGCTCATTAAGAAATGGAATTAAAGATATTGTAATTTTTCCACAAACTTTTTAAAGACCCTCATATACCAGTCCTTAAGCAATTGTATTGAGAAGCCTCTAGCAATTAGTCTAGGGGCGGAAATCCTAGCTTTTACCTACAAAAAGCAGAATCTTAGAAGGTTACCAAAGAACTTTCATTTATGCCCCCCATCCACAGACAGTGCTAAAGGTACAGCATGTGAGAACTGTATGTCAAAATTTGAAAGGGAAACATAGTTGAGAGGACTAAAGATGAGAGCACTAACCATTAACAATTTAGATATGAAACAGCAATAAGATTTGTTTTGCTTGAGAGGAAGAAACTACTTGTTTGACAAATCTTTCTTTATATGAATATTTGTTTTTTTTTTTTACCTTCAGATTATTCAGATCGATACAACTGGTTGACTCACAAACACCCACTTCAGAACTGCTAAGACCAAAATAGACAAATACAAGAATACCAAGACTGTTCTAAAACTGCCGCCTTTAAGTCAACATTAGTATTTGGATTTCTGGTGCTATGGATTGAATTATATACCCTAAAAATATGTGCTGTAAATCCTAGCCTCTATGTCTGTGATTATAATCCCATTTGGCAATGTGCTGTCTTTGTTATTAGTGCAGGATTAGTGCAGGGAGGGTGTATCTTGAGTCAATCTCTTTTGAGATCCAAAAGAGATTAAACAGAGCAGAGATGGGCAAAGAGAGAAGCCAAACCACATGAAGATGGCTCAGGAGCAGAAAGCTCAAAGAGACAGGATCTTCCTCTAGAACAGAAAGAGAAGCCATCCCCTAGGGTTGTTGTTGTGTGCCATGGAGTTGGTTCCGACTCATAGCAACCCTGTACAGGATTTCCGAGGCTGTGAATCTCTACAGGAGCAAAAAGCCTCATCTTTCTCCTGTGGAACAGGTGGTAGTTTTGAACTGCTGACCTTGAGATTCGCAGCCTACTTCGTAACCACTATGTTACCAGAGCTCCTTTTCCCCTAGGGTGTACATTCTGAATTCAGACTCGTAGCCTCCTAAACTGTGAGAAAATAAATTTCTGTTTGTTAAAGCCACCCACTTGTGGGATTTCTGTTATAGCAGTGCAAGAGAACTAAGACACTCAGATTAATACATAGAGACTACGAACAGGCTGGAAACTCACAGCTTGGGATCTCCATTCTCATCTATGATGCTGGCAGTAAAAAAGAAAAGAGTCAGCATCTGGCGCCCTCTTAAACAAAGCTGCTCAGCCATTTCATCCAAGTAAAAGACATCCTAAGAGACCAATCAGGATACATGCATCTTGGATGGAGTATTTCATTCATCATTGCACTTGATTGGTACAAAAAGATGTCTTCACACTGGAAGGCTAATTTACTATGACTCTCTTCTTTCTTTTGAAATGGAGAATCTTAAAATCTGTTCACAAACTTGGCAGAGCAAAGTTGCTCAAATAATATTGTGGCCTATTTTGTTTTTGGTGTGTGTCTCCTTTGTATCCAATGAAAGTTCTCGTGAAGAAACACACTTACCAAGCCAGAACATCCCCAGACCCTCACTTTTTCCCTTAGTTGTTTCTACCTGACATGATCCCAAAGATCAGTGCAAAAGAAAGCATGAGCGTAAGGCTGCAGTACACAGAAGGCACTTACCTGGTCACGATCTCCTGCAAAACAGCAGCTCTTCATAGTGCAAGAGTTGAAGTAACCCTGATTGTCAAACTGGAACACAGGCAGGCGGGAGTGGATGTCATAGAGTACAGGAGGCAAGCGGCGCCTCAGGGCCAGGAGCTGGGTCCCATTGCTGTTGAATCGCACACTCATGGCGCTCTGGAGGGAGAAGTTGCCACCATAGCGAAGGAGAGAACTGAAAGGCAGAAAGCACAAGGGTCAGGGGATAAAGTAACCATACTGTGTTCATTCTACACAACCTGTCTTGAGGACCTTCTGTTAGGTGTGTACATCTGAGCTTCAGCATAATGGTGTTTCTGGGCTATGGGCTAACAGGTAATAATGATAACCTGCAATAAGGAACGGCTCCTTGATGACAGTAAGGCACATTCCTTAATCTGTCACAGTTCCCTCTCTGCCATCTCAAAAAGGCAAGCTGACAAGACATTTACAGAAAAGGGTAACAAAATCATCTTGAAAGAAGAGATGTATTCCAATAATGAGTTATTTTATTTCCCCAAATTAAATACAACAAAGAGTTGCTTGTCAAAATTCTGGGAAGTGAGTTGTGTTCAGATAACTGTCTAATCATGACTGCCATTAAACGGACATATATATCCTTTAAATTAGAGATGCATGCACCATCAGAAAAGTCAATAATACTTTATTCTGAATACTTCTTTTCAATAGTAATAATTTCAATTACTTAACAATAAAGAAGTATTTATTTTTTATTTGTTAAACAATTCAAAGGGTTATTTATATTCCATATGGCATAGCTAGAGATAAAGTATTTAAAAACAAAACTCAGGTGCCTTCAAATCAATTTTGACACATAAAGTTGAAAATTTAAATGCAGAGCAACAATTGGAAAGCATAATGACTTGCTTCTCTATAATTTTCAACAAGTCTACATTTAGCTTTGAAATAGATTTTGATTACTACATAGAATTCCATTAATCTAGTTTCACTAAGGAGTAGTATATTCTGGTTCACCTAATGTTCTTCTGTAGTTTGTTCATAATAACACAAAAACAAAACCACACAGTTATAAACCATTTCTTTTGGTGACTCAGAAGATAATTGCAATTTGCAATGAACCAGAATGGTCATGAACATTAACAGTTCTACAGTACTAACTTAAAAGAAAGGACTCCTGGTGCAGCACTGAGGATCAGCACTGGGCTGCGAACCACAAAGTCAACAGTTTAAACTCACCAGCAGCTCCTCGGAAACCCTATACAGGGTCGCTATGAGACTGGACTGACTCGACAGCACATAACAACAACAACAACCTAAAAAATGAAAATTCTCACAACTGAACCAATAAATAACATCATGATAAACAGAAAAAGATTGAAGTTGTCAAACACTTCATTTTGCTTGAATATACAATCAGTGCTTATGGAAGCAGCAGCCAAGAAATCACATAATGTATTGCATTAGGTAGATCTGCTGTAAAAGATCTCTTTAAAGTATTAAAGAGTAAAGATGTCACTTTGAGGACTAAGGTGTGCCTGACTCAAGCAAAAAAATTGGTATTTTCAATTGCCAAATATGTATGTGAAAGTTGGACAATGAATAAGGAAGACAGTAGATAAATGGATACACTTTAAATATGATGTTGGCAAGGAATATTTAAAGTACAAAGAACAAACAAATCTATCTTGGATGAAATACAGCCAGACATGTTGTAAGGAGGGACTAGTGCCTGGAGAAGGACATCATGCTTGTTAAAGTGGAGGGTCAGTGAAAAAGAGGAAGACTCTCAACAACATGGACTGACACAGTGGCTACAATAATGGGCTCAAACATGCAACAATTGTGAGGATGGTGTAGGACCAGGTAGTGTTTTGTTCTGTGGTGCACAGGGTCCCTACGAGTGAGAACAACTCAAGGACACCGAACAAGAACAACAACAACAAAAAAGTGTGTGTGCCTGTTGTAGTAGTCAGTATTGTTGGCTATTGGAACACTATTTTATTATGGAGGAATGACTTCTCACTGTTTATGTCATAGCCAACTTTTCTTTTGTGCTTCAGGTTCAATTCTTGGAACACTGATTTACTTGTATGACGGGGAACTTTAAGTATATGAGAGGGCTTCAGAAGTTCATGGAAAATGGAATTAAAAGATTATGGAATTTTTCTAGGAACTTTTTGAAGTCCCCTTGTTTGTGTTAAGGATACAGAAATGAGAGCCAAGTCAGAATTACCTGCTCACTCTACCCCACATGAACACTATTGTCATGGAAAGGAAATAGCTTTAGAAGTTAGGAGTTTTGGAAAAAGAAGTTTATAAATTCTAAGGGATTATAGCTAGGAAGATCCTAAAAATGCCTAAACTAGAGCCTACCTGACTTATTTGAAATATTTTAAAGAAAGAAGTTTTAACAGCATTGTACCAAGTGAAAACTATATGCCACAAGTAAAGACTGAATATTGAATGAAGATAATACATATCCCTTTTGAGGGGCAAGAAAGGTGGTAGGGAAAATTAAAAGAACAGGGAAAAAAGATATCCTATGGGAAGAGGAAAGTCCCTGGACGGCACAAATGGTTAAACATTGGATTACTAAATGAAAGGCTGGTAGCTGAAAGCTACCCAGAGAAGCTTTGGAAGTATGGGCTGGTGATCTACTTCCAAACCATATGGAGATTTATACTTTTGCATACGTGGTTTCATCATGAACCAAAATCAACTTGACAGCAACTAACATCAACTATATGGGAAAAGGAGCTCCTGAAATCACAGTGCAAAGGCAGCTGCCAACCTGGCCTGGTCATAAAAACAGCCTCTGCCAACACCAGCCATTACTGGTCCTGGATCACCCAAAGTCATCTCACCGGAGGCAGGAATACTCTGGCACTGCAGCAAAACAGCCTTTAATCCTCTTCTGAGACTAAGAAACACTGTCCCTAGACCTCTAGACATCAAGGAGATGCCTGGGGCTCCTGCAGGCCTCAAATAATAATCCCCACAGAGAAATGTTCTCATAATGGTCCTAAACACAGGCCTCACTCACTCACATACAGAGAATGAATGACGGGGCTGTTAGAGCCCAGGCATTTCCTTTATAGGGTACCCTAGCTGCCACAGGCATGTGGTGTTATCTAAACACAGAGCTCAAAAACAATGAGAGGCTTTCAGTCCAAGATCAGCATGGAGTGTGCAAATAAACTAGCATCTGTAGGGCTGAAGAGGAGTGGGGGTGGAAACAAGACTCAACAAAAAGAAACTTGGCCAGCCCCACCAGTCATAGCAGCAGGAGTTTTCATCAGCTCAGGCATCTCTGACAGGAAAGTTGGGCCTCTGGCATAGGTCCTTTCCAACAGCTAACAGGAATTTCCTCTGCCGATTCTGCTCAGGTCTATAGAGGAGTTTGCCAAGGAAAGGCACCAAGGCCCATCCTGTCCCCACCCAAGCTCCTTGACTCACTATTTGCAACCTGACCATGCTATCTGTTTCTCCTGAGTAGGAAGCTCCTATCTCTCACACAAATGTAGGGTGCATTTGAACTTTGCTCTTAGAACATTTAGAAATGTTATCCAAAGAGAAGATACCTAAACTGAATAGTGCATGTCGGGGCTCGAAGTTCAGTTTCTTCCAGAAAAAAGGAATGATCCCTAAAATCTAGAAAGGGAGCAATGTCAACTGAAATTTTTCTGTGGGGATTCTGTAGCAGGCTATTCCCAGCAAGAATGGTAAAAATATCTAGTTTTCAAAGGAAGGAGAGCTTAAAAGCAGTTTACCTCCCAGTTAAGATATAATGACAATATTAAAGATTCTGTAGTTCATATTTTTAACTGAAGTGCTCTTGAGAAATCATTGGTGGTGGTGGTGTGCCATGGAAATCATTAGGGATTTTAAAAAGTAGAGAGAGATGCTCAAAAGTTACCATCAGACAGTCTAACTAAATCAGGCAAATGGACTTATCATCTTCCTGCCAACCTCCCTCTTCTTGTATATTGCCCTCCCTATCACTTGAGTTGACATGTGTCTACCCTTTAGCTAGTGACTTACTCTTCCTTCCCTCCTACCCCCGGTAACCATAAAAGAATGTTTCTTTTACCATGAAATATGAAAATCTTATCTTGAGTTTTTACAATAGCAGCTTTATACAATATTGTGATTTATTTCACTCAACTATGATACCCTCTAGGTCCGTCATGTTATTATTCAACATTGCACAGTGGTAGTGGTGGTGGTTATGTGTTCTGATTCATAGCAACCCTGTATAAGGTTTCTGAGGCTGTAAATCTTCATGGGAACAGAAAGTTTCATCTTTCTCCTGAGGAGCAGCTGGTATATTCAAACTGTTGACCTTTGCAGTTTACAGTTCAACTCACAACCCACTATGTTATCGGGGCTCAATGTTGCATAGTATTCCATTATGTCTATGCACCAAAGCTTATTTATCCATTCTTCCATTAATGGGCAATTAGGTTATCTCCACCTTTTTGTTATTTTGAATAGTTCTACCATGAACATTGGTGTGCATGTATCTACTGTTGTCCTGGCTCTTATTTCTTGTGGATATATACAAAGGAGAGGGATTGCTGAGTCATGCATTCTATCTCCAACATTTTGAGGAAGTGCCACACCATTTTCCACAGACACTGAACCATTTTAGAGTCCCACCAATAATGTAGGAGGGTCCCAGTCTCTCCACACTCTCAACAGCATTTGTTGTTTTCCTTTTAACTTTACTATTAATGTTAGTGAGAGATGATACATCTCATTGTTGTTTTGATTTGCATCTCTCTAATGGAGTCCTAAGAGTAGTGATTATGAGTCGGGCTGCTAACCTCAAGGTCAGATAGTTCAAAGCTACCAGTGGTTCTGTGGAAGAAAGATGAGGCTTTCTGCTCTCGTAAAGAATTACAGCCTTGGGAACCGTATACAAGGTCGCTATGAGTTGGAACCAACTCCATGGAACACCACCACCACCACCAGTGGAGTCCTGGTGTGGCACTGTAGGATAAGTGCTCAACCATAAGGTCAGTTTGAACCTTGAGGTAGATGATTCAAATTCACCAGCTGCTCCTTGAAGGTCCTATACAGGGTCACTATGAGTTGGAACTGACTGCTCTGAACAACAACAACAAATGGCTAATGGAGTCCTGGAGTGGTGCCAAAGGACAAGCACTCGACCTCAAGGTTGGTTTGAGCCACGACTTAACTTAACTTAATAAC